ATTATTATTATTATTATTATTATTATTATTATTATTATTATTATTATACACAAAAACAACAGTGCACACAGCAAACGAGATAACTATGCTGGGTTTCGTATCATAAATCACTAGTCGAACACTTCTCAAGTGTTTAGGACTGCGTGATGTATTGGCAGATTATGCGAGCAGATCCCAGTATGGTGGCCTTCTGCAGTTGACCAATGGTGATCTTGTCAGCGCCAGTTGTTTTTAAGTGCTTGCCTAGGTCTTTAGGCACAGCAGCACCCAGTGTGCCCAGTACCACTGGAACCACCTGCACTGGTTTATGCCAGAGTCTCTGCAGTTCGATTCTCAAGTCCTGATATCTGGTGACTTTTTCAAGTTGTTTCTCATTGATTCTGCTGTCACCAGATATGGCAATGTTGACGATCCACGCTTTTTTCTTCTCCACAATCATGATATCCGGGGTATTGTGTTTCAAAACTTTGTCACTCTGTATAATCATCATCATCGCACAGTCAGCCAGATGTTCAGACTGGGTTTGGCATGTTTGTCTACCTATCAAGTCATTACAAAGATTCTGTATGTTTGGATGTTTAATAGTGTTACAGATATCGCTGCAGGATGGAAGCTGTTCCAAGTGAAGCTGCCTTCTGCAATTGACTGATGGCAAATTTGTCAATGCCTGTGATGTTCAAGTGGTGGTGGTTATTGTTGTTTTTGTTATGCACAAAAAATGACTGTACACAGTAAACAAGATAAATATGCTGGATGGTGATTATTATTATTATTATTATTATTATTGTAAGGGCCAGGAAAAAGCCGTCCCCTCCACCATGCCTGCTGTGGAAGAGAAATTTAAGGAGATTTGACCCACGCAAACTTCCAGCTTTTTTTCTGGCCATTGTGATTTGCTTTGGACTTGTCCGATGGAGCTGGCCGAAAAAACACCCATTGCGAGGTGGGTATTGTCCTTTTATTTTTTTATTTTTAAAAAATGCGTGCTTGGGATCCTGTTTCCTGTTGTTTCTTTCTCTGAGAGATAATGTCGCCCTCAAGACAAGCTTTGCTTGCTCAGCAAACAAGGTGGGTGGGGGTAGATGGGCTTTCTCTGGGAAACCCAGCTCCCCCATTGGTAGAGAAGCCAAGCGCCAATTGGCAGAGGGGGGGGGTGTTTAGATAAGGGGGTGCCTGCAGATTGCTGCCTTTGCATATTGTGACACCTATAAGGTGTTGACTCTCTTCGGGCAATTGGCAGTGTTTGCATTTCTCCAGACTGTTGGGGAAGATCGGATCCAGCAACATGGACCGGGTCCAATCCACCGAGCAGATGCTGGGGTGAACTTGGCCCTTGAACCCTCCCCCCCCCAAAAAATATTAGCAAACTGGAAGGACTGAATCGGTCAACCAAACTGGAGGGAAGCCCCAGACCGCGGTGGAAAATTACTCAGAGGGACAACACCAACGCCAGGTCAGTCAATGACTCCTAAATTCTACTCTGTTCTCAACTTTTAAATCCAATCCTAAATAATGTTCCCTCTTTCCTCCCCCCCCCATCCACTGCAGCTCTCTCAACCCTGTGATTTAAAGCAACATTTTTGTTTTATTTTATTTGTTTTGGCAAACATGTACAAGATAACAAGTGTACGTATGAACATAAACAGGGACAAAGGGAGTAAATGTTAGATAAATGGGGGTCAGTAAGACAAGAGACGGTAGACACGCTGGTGCGCTTCTGCGCGTCCCCTTTAAGGACCCCTTAGGAATGGGGTGAGGAACCACGGGAGACAGTTTGAGGTTGAAGCTGTGAGGGGTTGAGGCTCTGACAAGGGAGATAGGTAGGGCGTTCCAGGCGTTGACCACTCTGTTGCTGAAGTTGTATTTTCTGCAATCGAGTTTGGAGCGGTTTCCCTTGCGTTTATATCGGTTGTTTACCTGTCTATTATTGTGACTGAAGCTGAAGAAATCATTGACAGGCAAGATGTTGTAGCAGATAATTTTGTGTGCTATGCTTAGATCGGACTGCAGGCGCCGCGGTTCCAGATTGTCCAGACCCAAAATTTCGAGTCTGGAGGCAGAGGGCAGGGATGGCGAACATTTTAGAAACCGAGTGCCCAAACCATGTTTGGGCATGAATGTGCATGCGTGCTTGCTGGAGCACCAGAAAAACCGAAGACCAGCTGTCCGGTGCGTGCATGCCTGGTTTTTGGCTGTTTTGGGTGTCGTTTTTGGCCTTTTTCAGGCTGTATTCTGGGCCGTCTTCAGGCCAAAAACGCTGGAAAATGGCCTGAAAACAGCCCAAAAAACAGCCTGTTTTTGGAGGCCAGCACCAGAAACCAGAAGAGCATCTGGCGGTGGTGTGCGTGCCTGCTAAGAGGGCTCTGCATGGCATGCATGCCATAGGTTCACCCTCATGGCCATGGGGAGTTCTATTGTGAGTGGAGGAGTAGAGTATTTCTCTTGAGAAATATGTGTATTCACTGTTTATGGACATAAAGAGAGCATCTCAAATCTTTACTCTCCGAACACAGACTTTCTCTCCCCCCCCCCCCCAATTGTGTATCCCTTCCCCTGACTTCCTCCTCTGATGGTACCCTTGAAAACTAACTGTGGTCCCTTTCCCACTGGAAGAAACTGGGCACAATTTGCAAGGCTGGTGAGCGGCCAAGCAAGATAGGGACGGAAACGTAAACCCACGGCGGAGGAAATTTCTTATTATATTTTTGCTGCTCCTTCCTGCCTTCTCTGTTTGGGATCCTTCCACGTTCTCTCTTTATTTTTATTTATTTGATTTGATTTGTCCATCACTTACAACAGTGGTTCCCAACATTTTTTTTTCTCCCCGCACCCCTAAAGAAATTTCACTCGAACTTCGCACCCCCTGAAATTTAGACTTTAGGAACTACTGAACGTGTTAAATATATGGTAGAATTGAATCTTTTCAGCTATGTATGTGACGGCCACTAAATAACAATACTTAACTCTAAAATGAAAACAAACTTAATCCATTGCATAATAAATAAAAATGCCAACATATAGCCAATATCCTATTATTTACCTGGACTTTTCTCGCACCCCCTGGAATATCGTCTCGCACCCCCAGGGGGTGCGAAGACCTCAGGTTGGGAACCCCTGGCTTACAAGATAATAGGTATAAGTATAAACATGAGTAAGAATACAGGAAATAGGTACGAATAAATGGGGACAATAGGACAGGGACAGCAGGCACGATTGTGTACTTACGCACGCCCCTTACAGACCTGTTTTTACTTTTGTTCTACTGCTGGCTTGCAACTGGGGGGAATTGATCTGAATTTGGGGCTGATTATAATCAGCCGAGCGCTTACCCCTTTGCAGAAATATTCAACTCTCCTGATCTGCAAAATTAGGGCTGCCTCCCCCCCATGCCTTCCTTCACAGAGTCAGGGAGAAGTCGTGCCCGCCTGTCTGCCGCAAATCACTTTTTAAAAAGATTTCCAGTTGTTTTCAGAGCAAGAAATTCTTACTGGCTCTTGCAAACCACTAGCTAAGTGTGTCTTGAGTCTTGTCATCTGCACCTCTGTAACTAACTGGTTTGGTTCTGCAACCCAACAAGACAGACACAGACTTCAGAGAGTAATTAGGACTGTAGAAAAAACAATGGCTACCAACCTGCCTTCCATGGAGGACCTGTATACTACACAAGTCAAAAAGAGGTCTGTGAAAATATCTACAGACCCCTCACATCCCGGACATAAACTGTTTCAACTCCTTCCCTCAAAACGACGCCATGGAGCACTGCACACCAGAACAACTAGACACAAGGAGAGTTTTCCCCCTGAACGCCATCACTCTGCTAAACAAATAATTCCCTCAACATTGTCAAATTACTTAGTAAGACTGTATTTTTATTCTTATTCTCATCCTTTCTGTTACCTATCTCTTCCCACTTATGACTATAACCGTGTTGCTTGTTATCTTTACGGTTTATATTGTTTTATTTGTTTTCCTAGTATGTTTTTATTGCATATTAGTATCTTATGTATGATTTGATTGAATTCGAATTGTTTATTGTCATTGTGTACATATACACAGTATACATACGATGAAATTCACATAACAGACCCAACGCGCGTGCACACACACACACCAATCCCCAAACACCCCCCCACCCGCCAAAATGTCCCGCCCCCTAAAAACACACAAGCATCCACACTTATAGTAACCTATAACTATCACTAAGTGTTGTATCTTATGATTCTCGATGAATGTATTTTATTTTTTCTTTTATGTACACTGAGAGTGTCTGCACCAAAGACAAATTCCTTTTGTGTCCAATCACACTTGGCCAATAAAGAATTCCTATTCTATATTCTTATTCTTTTCTTATTCTAAGAAAATCCTGCTTGGATGAAGGCTGGGAGAATTATTAAGCCACCTGGAGTTGCTTAAATTTATAAATTTAATACATATTAATTTAATACAGATGGAATTCTAGATTAGATTAAATTCAGATTAAATACAGATGCAAGCGTTAGTTTAGTAATCGGTCGAAGTTGCAGTGGCCTGAGAAAAGAGACCTGGGACCGTTTTTTCACACGATCGTTGTGGCATCCCCAAGGTCAGGGGATCAAAATTCAGCCGCTGGACAACTGGCTCGTATTTATGACGGTCTCAGTGTCCCGGGGTCACGTTATACCCTTTTGCAGCCTCTTGACTAGCAAAGTCAATGGGGAAGCCAGATTCACTTTGTTGTGGTTCGCCCGCAGCCTGTGCAGATGGCAGCGGAAGCAAACGGTGGGGATGTACAAGGACCAGTCTGGGGAGGACTCGGATGAGGGTCCTGCATCCGATGCAGAGATGGGGCCAGAACCATCTGGGAATTATGTGCTGACTCTGGAGCCTCTGGAATCTGGCAGCAGTGAGGCAGAGGAACAAGGGGAGCCTGTTCCCAGTGTGCGTATGCACAGAGCTGCTAGAAGGCGAGAGCAGCTGAGATAAAAGGGGCGACTCGGAAATAAGGCTGGGAGGTGATGGCCCCTCCCATAAGGTATAAAGGACAAGCAAAGGTAGAGAAACCTTCGCAGGAAGCAAAGTCATTTGCTCTCTTTGGATTAAACCTTGAAGCTTTGTGGACTTTGTACTTTGGTTCATTTGTCATTCTAGTTGGCAGCAATTCAAAGGAGAGAAAAGTGGGTGCTTATCTCAAGGGACTGGTTGGGACTCTTTATTGGCTGGGAATGAACATAATTCCCAGCGTTGAAATAAAACAAGAGTTGTATGGACTAAGCAGGTGCTTAATAACAGTCTTGGGAAGCTTTGGTTAGAATACACTTAACAACCGGGTAGTCCTTGAGGTACAACCACAATTGAGCTCCCAAATTTCTGTTGCTAACTTAAGACATTTTGTTAAGGGAATATTGCCCCATTTTACTTGCCACAGGTGCTAAGTGAATCACTCCCGTTGTTAAGTTAGCTACCCAAATCTGGCTACCCCGTTTGAGTTGCTTGTCAGAAGGTTGCCAAAGGGGGAATCATTTGATACTCCCCCGGGACATGGCGATCATCATAAATATGAGCCAGTCAGTCATCAATACGATCGTAAATGTGGAACATGGGCATAAGTCACTTTTTTTCAGCGCCATTGTAACTTTGAACAGTCACTAAATGAACTATGGTGAGTCGAGGACTTCCTGTAGTGCAGTGATTCATTGGACAACCATGGCAAGAAAGGTTGTAAAATGAAGAAAAGCTCACTTAACAGCCTCACTTAGCAACAGAAATGTTGGGGCTCAATTGTAAGTCAAGGACCATCCTATTAAAAGAAATAGATTTCCACTCCAAATACAAGCCAAGGGCGACTGCTACCTCATGTCATGCCCCTGTCAGTTGGAATCCAAGAGGAAGATGAACAGCTGACAGGGAGTAGGAGTGTGGCTCCGTGGGCTGTGGAGGAAACTGGGGAAGGGCAAAGTCTGGCTGGGCAGAACAGGGAAGAGGTAGAACAAGGGAGAGGTAGAACAAGGGAGAGGGAATTCAGAGGAAGACCACCCCTTCTTCATCCTAGGGCACGCAGGGTGGAATGGAGAAGGGAGCAACGTGCATTGCATGGCTTACAGGGAAGGAAAGGGCCCTGATTCCCTTCATTTAGGCACACCTGGGAAGAGAGTTTGAAAGAGATGCATGCTGAGTGCGAAGTTTTCTGGGAACAAACATGAGTTTATCTTGTGTTGACTGTGGTTATCTGTGTTCCTGGCATCTTCCCAACCATATTGAGTTATTGCCGTGCCTTCATATCTGGAATTCTTGCTCCTGTCTTGCCAAACTAATTACCTTATTTTGCCTTGATTGGACTTTTAGTTAGTTTTTGTTGACCACATTTTGGACTTTATTCTCTGCAGCCAAAGGCTGTTCCTGATGGAGGTTTTCTCCAGCCAGAAGGTAACCTGTACACTGGGGGCAAAGTTGGAGCTAATAAAGGGACTCTTATTGATTATCTGACTGTGTTGCCTTTGTGCCACACCCTTTTGAGTCATCGCACCTCACCTGGAACCTTCTGGCATTCTTTCCATTTCTCCAGGGCCTTCACCATGGTCAATGAGTTTCTTCCGATGAGCAACGGCCTTGGCACCCGCTCTGATGGCGGCAACAGCAGCAGCAGTGGGGAGAGTTCCCAAAACAGCTCCCGCTGCTCCACCCCCATCCTGGACACGGAGCGTCATGAGCGCCTGCGGGAAAAAATGCGTCGCCGTCAGGAATCCGGTGACAAGTGGTTTTCCCTGGAATTCTTCCCTCCCCGGACAGCCAATGGAGCCGTGAATCTCATCTCCAGGTGAAGAAGCAGCTCACGGAGGCTCCGAGTTGATTTATAAGAGCCGTGGTGGCACAGTGGTTAGAGTGCAGTACTGCAGGCTACTTCTGCTGACTGCCAGCTACCAGCAATCTGGCAGTTCGAATCCCACCAGGCTCAAGGTTGACTCAGCCTTCCATCCTTCCGAGGTCGATAAAATGAGGACCCAGATTGTTGGGGGCAAGAGACTGACTCTGTAAACTGCTTAGAGAGAGCTGTGAAGCACTGTAAAGTGGCATATAAATCTTAAGTGCTATTCCTTCCTTCCTTCCTTCCTTCCTTCCTTCCTTCCTTCCTTCCTTCCTTCCTTCCTTCCTTCCTTCCTTCCTTCCCAGTGGTTAGAATGCAGCATTACAGGCTAACCCTGCCCACTGCTATCACTTCGATCTTGACCGGCTCAAGGTCGACTCAGCCTTCCACCCTTTCAAAGTCAGTAAAATGAGGACCCAGATTGTTGGGGGCAAGAGGCTGACTCTGTAAAACTTCTTAGAGAGGACTGAAAAGCACTATAAAGTGGTATATAAGTCTAAGTGCTACTGCTATTAATGATCTGCCTTAATGAATTTGATGAACCATCTGACTCCAATTTAACCTGGGTGCCTCTCTAATTCTTCTGGCTCTTTCTTCAGAACATGTTCTGGGTTGCTTTCTGACGACCTACCAGCTGAAGTTCCAAAGGGTTGTGGGTTTTTTTTCCGCAAGAGGCCACTGGACATTCTGGTTTTCCTTTGAAGATGTTTCGTTTCTCATCCCAGAAGCTTCTTCAGCTCTGACTGGATGGTGGGGAAGGGAAGGATTGATACTCCTTGCAGGCAGCTGGTCATTGGCATCCTTTTTAGAGAGTCGTTGGGGTCACTTGGAGGTTTATTTGTGTCCTCAGGGTCACCTGAGTGGTGCAAATGGGTGCTGAGCCTTCTTGGAACTGCTGAAGGGACGGTTTTGTAAACTGGAGATAGATGATGTCGCATCCCTCCCCCTCTGTTGAGGGAGGGCTGTTCACTTTGGACATAGAATGGCCTCTTTGAGCCCCTCTTTCAAACCAGGGTCCTCTCTGCCCCAACATGTGGGCTTTGCTGTCCTCAAAAGAGCGGCTTTTGTCTTTCAAATGCGAATGGACTGCTGAATCTGAGTCCTGATGGGTTTGTTCTCTTATGTTGTGCCGCGTGTTTATGAAGTGGCTGTTTTGTTTCCCCAAATGACCAGCTGGCTGCAAGGAGGATCAATCCTTCCCTTCCCCAACACCATCCAGTCAGAGCTTGTTCTGACCCAAATCTTGTTCCAAGGAAAAAAACACAAAATGGAGGTCACAGCAAAACCTTTTAATGATTCTTTATGAATTCCGTTCCTTCCCGGTTAAAAGGCAGTTTCAAACTAATTGTCTCTGATAAGAACGAGCCTTGCCAAGGTTGTGCAAGGCTGCCAAGAACATTAGATAAAGTTACTAAGAAATATTTCAAACACAAAGAGTCTCCAAACACAAGCCAAGATACTCTGAATGTCCACAAGGCTTGAGGGCAAAAACGTATTTGCTTCCTGCAAAGAACTCTGGTTTCTCAGCTGGCTTTTATCTCTTAAGGGGGAGGGGCCATCCCCTTGCAGCCTTACTCCTGAGTTGCCAGTGCTGCTGCAGCTGCTCTTTCCTTTCTGCGGGTACACGCACTGGGCCCAGGCTCCTCGGGGGCCTCTTCATCACTGCTGCCAGCCTCCACAATCTCGGAAGGCAGCCTTCCACTCCCTGGTGGTCCTGGTTCCACCCCTGCCTCACACGCAGGCCCCTCATCTGATTCCTCGCTCTCCGAGACCTCAGTCATCCGCACCTGTTGCCGGTGAACCACAACAGAGCTGAAGAAGCTTCTGGGATGAGAAATGAAGCGCCTTCAAAGAAAAAAACCAGAAAGACCGGTTGCCTCTTGGGAAAACAAAAAAAGCACCTTTGGGACAACCATGACCAGGAGGACTTGAGAAACTCCATAGATACCTACCAGCTGAAGATAACCAATTTCTTTTGTTCCTTGCAGGTTCGACCGCATGGGGGCAGGCGGCCCGCTTTTCATCGACGTCACTTGGCATCCGGCTGGCGATCCGGGCTCCGATAAGGAGACCTCGTCCATGATGATGGCCACCACTGCCCTCAACTACTGCGGGCTAGAGACCATTCTCCACATGACCTGTTGCAACCAGAGCAGGGAAACCATCACTGCCCACCTGCAGAAGGCCAAACGTTTGGGGCTGAAGAACATTATGGCGCTGCGAGGAGGTGAGGAACGGTGTCATGCCCCTGTTGGAATCTGATTCCGAGGGGGAGGTCAAGCAACTGATAGGGAGTGGGAGTGTGGCTGTGGAGGAAACTGGGGAAGGGCACAGTCCAGTTGGGCATTCAGAGGAAGACCCAGGCCTTCATCCTAGGGCACACAGGGAGGAATGGATAAGGGAGCAACCTGGGTTACAGGGGAGAAAAAGGCCCTGATTCCCTTCATTAACTGCAGCTGGGAAAACAGGAGTTAAAGAGGGTGTTTGCGCACAGCATCTTGCTGGAAGCAAAGCGTGCATTATCTTTGTTTCTCAAGTCTTATCTGGGTTCTGGCGTCCTCCCAACTGTGTGTGTTTCATTATCTTTTGGAAGTCTGCAATTCCTTATCCTTCCCTGTCTAGTTAATTGCTGCAGCGTGGTTTGTGTTGATTGTTATTTATAATCTATATGTACTTTGGGTTCGGACTGAATTTCTTCCCTTTAAAGACTGTTCTTGGGAGAGTTTTTCTCCAGCCGATGATAACATTGGAAGTATTAAAGGGACTTCACCTACTTTTGTGACTTTGTGGCTTTTGTGCCACGTCCCGGGTCATCACAAACAGCTACAAAGATGATCTCTCCTTCCATGGGAAGGAAGAACCATGTTTTCTGAAGAATGTGGGGTCTCCTTCTCCCACAGATCCTGTCGGGGAAGAATGGGAAGAAGAACTGGACGGCTTCAACCATGCAGTGGATCTGGTGAAGCACATCCGTCAGGAGTTTGACGATTATTTTGACCTCTGTGTGGCCGGTGAGTAGTTGAGCTTCATACAAAGTTCTCCTGATCTTCTCAAGACATTCCTCAAGGGTCCATCCATCTTTTCGGACCAGCAGTGGTGCTTCTTCAGGTCATTTTGCACTCCTGGCAGTGGCCTAGCCCAGTCTCTGCCATTTTGGGGGCAAAGTTCTCATCACTTGTTGGCCACGGTTTTCTTGGGTTTGAGGGAGAGAAGCTGGCCTTAGTTCACCCAGCTGACTTTGCGTCTAACAAACAACAAATTCAGGTTTCTCCACTTCTCAAGTTTCACTTCCTCCTTGCCACTTTTACGGCCATTAAGTGAAATGTATTTTTTGTTACCTGTCCAGTGATACACACTGAGACTCCATGTCAGGTTTCCAAGTGACAAAATCCATTTAAAAAGAAAAGAGCAAAGTCCATCTTCCAAAATAATTTCTTTTATTTAGGAAAGCATCAAATTGGCAAAGTCCATGGTAATGCCGGATCTGACACAACCTGGAATTACACCACATAATATTGGAAATCAGAAACAGCCCCAAAAAGTCACATTCCCCAATAGAAGTACATCAACGTTGCCTGGTATCATCAGTCTCCACCTCCAGGTCTCAGCAGGGTCAGGTTTTTTTCCCACGGGAAGAAGAACCACCTAGCCTAAACAACTCTCACTATCTCCACTCCTCCCATCTTAGGAATGTGGCAAGCCCGAAACCCTTCCACCCCATAACCAGCAAAGAGAAAAAAGAAAAGGAATATATAATAAGGCTAAATAAAATGGCTACGCGTATGTCCATTTTGGGCTTGACACTCCATCTGTGTCTCTCTTAAGAAAACTCTCTAAGAAAATCAGGTGGCCCGGCCACTCAGCATGCGAGCTTCTAAAGAGAGATTCGTGCATTTCACCCACGCTTTGAGGTTTAATTCAGAAACTTCCCTTCTTCTGGATTTTTCCTGGGTCCTGGATGACCTGGGGAAAAAGAGGAGTGGTGGGATTCGACAATTTTTTACTACCAGTTCTACGAGAGTGTGCTTCAGCGTTCCAAATACAACAATTTCAAGCACTACAGCTTACCTTCTATGGCAGCCCTGGTGTCAGGTGTGGCTCCATTCCAACTCCAGGAAAGAAAAACTAAGACTCAATTTTTATAGAGAAAAGGACTTTTACAGAATATGAAGTGGTAGCAACAGGAGAAATGCAAGATCTGAGGCAAAAGGTGTGGAAATCACATATAGAAGGTTACCCCATGTCCCCACCCCCAACAATTCAAACTGGATATCCAATCTGAGGTGTGTGTATAATGTCATGTGGGTACATCTTCAGGTGGCATCTCAGACATCTGGAATGCCAAGACGGTTGACCTTGGCCTAGAAAAGATAAGTGTGTCCTGCCCTTGTTGGAGTCTGATTCTGAGGGGGAGATTGAGCAGCTGACAGGGAGTGGGAGTGTGGCTCCCATGGCTGTGGAAGAAACTGGGGAAGGGCACAGTCCGGCTGGGCATACAGAGGAAGACCCAGGCCCACCCTCTGTTCATCCTAGGGCACCTAGGGAGGAACAGAGAAGGGAGCAACGTGGCTTATGGGAGAGGAAAAGGCCCTGATCCCTTTCATTCGTTGTAGCTGGGAGAACAGGATATAAGTGGGGCGTTTGAACAAAGCTCCTTGCTGGAAGCAAAGCATGTATTATCTTGGTCAAGGCTTATCTGGATTTTGGCATCCTCCCAACTGCGGGTGAAAGCCTGCAATTTATCACCCTGGCCTGCCATGTTAATTACTTCAGTGTGGTTTGTGTTGGTTTTTTTATTTCTAATTATCTTTACTTTGGGTTCGCACTGCTGCATTTCTGCCCTTCGTAGACTGTTTTTGGAAGAGTTTATTACCCAGCTGAGGATAATTGGACATTGGGGCCAAGTTGGAGGCATTAAAGGGAATTTATTTTACTTTTGTGACTTGGTTATTTTTGTGTCACACCCCGGGTCATCTCAAGTGGCTGCATTTGTGCAGTAAGCAGGAAAGCATCCCAACTTTTACAACTCACACAACTTCGGCTCCAGCACCCTTCCCCCCACTAGGACCAAATATTCCTCCCCCCCCCCCCCATTTCTATGGCTGCCGGAAAGTATCAAGTAGAAGAAGAAATCTTGGAGGATTGACACCCAGTAAGTTAAACAGCTGAGGCGCGGGAATCCACTTGCCGCACAAATCAGCTGAGCTGAAAAACACACAGAAATATAGGACAGGATAGGGTGGGGCCATATGGGCGGGGCCAGCAGTGGTGGGATACTGCCGGTTTGGACCGGTTCTACCGAACTGGCAGCATCTCACCATTGCTTTGAGACCAAGCAAGCCAGGTTCTCTGCTTTCGAAGGAGGCCTAATGGACGAAAACGAAGAGTGGGTCTCGGAAAACCATGTATCAAATTCTATAGAACAAGTTTCCCTGTCAAAGTGACTGTGAATTACGCAGAGGATATTTTGATAAGAACACAGGTGAAATCAGGCCAAAGCTCACCGTTTGTCTCTCTTTTATTTGGAAGGTTACCCTGGGGGGCATCCCGAGGCCAACAGCTACATCGATGACTTGAAACACCTCAAGGAAAAAGTGTCCGCGGGAGCCAATTTTGTCATTACGCAGCTATTTTTCCGGACGGAAACCTTCCTCAAATTTCTAATGGACTGCCAGGCCATCGGTATCAGCTGCCCCGTGGTGCCTGGGATATTCCCCATCCAGGTAAAGGTGTCCTGCATACAGGTAGCCTTCAAGTTACAACAATTTGTTTAAGGACCATTGGGAAGTTATGCCTTCACATTGGCATCCTTCAGTTTCGAGAGACTATGGTGTCGTGCTCTGAAAAGAGGTCCTAAAACGGCATCTAGGGTGGCTAAAATGGCCAATTCGAGAATAAGATAGGACAGGATAGGATAGAATGGAATGGAATAGAATAAGGAATAGAATAGAATAAGGAATAGAATAGAATAAAGAATAGAATAAGGAATAGAATAGAATAGAATAAGGAATAGAATAGAATAAGGAATGGAATAGAATAGAATAAGGAATAGAATAGAATAGAATAGAACAGAATAAGGAACAGAATAGAATGAGGAATAGAATAGAATAGAATAAGGAATAGAATAGAATAAAGAATAGAATAGAATAGAATAGAATAGAATAGTTTAAGGAATAGAATAGAATAATGAATAGAATAGAATAGTTTAAGGAATAGAATAGAATAAGGAATAGAATAGAATAGGACTAGGACTAGGACTAGAAATAGAAATAGAAGTAGGATAGAATAGAATAGAATAGAATAGAGAATAGAAAAAAGAATAGAATATAGTAGAATTCTTTATTTGCTAAGTGTGATTGGACACACAAGGAATTTGTCTTGGTTCAAATGCTCTCAGTGTACATAAAAGAAAAGATACAATCATCAAGAGTCAAGAATCCTGAGATGCAACACTTAATGATAGTCATAGGGTACAATAAGCAATCAAATCATACTAGGAAATAGTCAATATAAATCGTAAGGATACAAGCGACAAAGTTACAGTCATACAGTCACAAGTGGGAGGGGATGGGTGATAAGGAGTGATGAGAAGATTAATGGTAATATAATGCAGACTTTGTAAATAGTTGGACAGTGTTGAGGGAATTATTTGTTTAGCAGAGTGATGGCATTTGGGGGGAAAAAACTGTCCTTGTGTCTAGTTGTTCTGGTATGCAGTGCTCTATAGCGTCATTTCGAGGGAAGGAGTTGGAACAGTTTATGTCCAGGATGTGAGGTAATAAATAAATAGGTAATAAATTGCGTTGGCATCCTTCAGTCTCAAAAGACTGTGTTATCGTGCTCTGAAAAGAGGTCCTAAAAGAGCATCTGGTGTGGCCAAAAAGGCCAATTCGAGAGTGGCAATTCCTTCCACAGTGGGGGCAGATACAGTCTGTCCTCTGTCTAGCTGCCCCCTGCCCTGGATTTCACTGGTTCCAGGATTGCCTCTTTGCCTCACAAGTGTCTTTTCGAATTGGAGCAGGCCGTGCTCTGTGTTTAGCCTCGAAGCTGAACGATCAGAGGTCAAGGTTCCCAATGGCTGATGTCCATTCCCAAGGCCTTTAGATCCCTCTTGTAGATATCCTTATATCACAGCTGTGATCTAGGGCGCTTTCCCTGCACTAATTCTCCCATACAAGAGATCTTTCGGAATCCGACCATCGGCCATCCTCACGACATGCCCAAGCCAGCATAGACGTCGCTGTTTCAATAGTGTATACATGCTAGAAATTCCAATGTCAGGTTCCCAAGTGACGAAATCCATTTAAAAAGAAAAGAGCAAAGTCCATCTTCCGAAATAATTTCTTTCATTTAGGAAACCATCAAATTGGCAAAGTCTGTTGTAATTCCGGATCTGACACAACCTGGAATTACACCACATAATATTGGAAATTAGAAACAGCCCCCAAAAGTCACATTCCCCAATAGAAGTACATCAACATTTGCCTGGTGTCATCAATCTCCGCCTCCAGGTCTTAGCAGGGTCAGGTTTTTTTCCCACGGGAAGGAGAACCACTTAGTCTAAACAACTCTCACTATCTTCACTCCTCCCATCTTAGGAATGTGGCAAGCCCCAAACCCTCCTCCCCCTCCAATAACCAGCAAAGAGGAAGAAAGAAAAGGAATAGATAATAAGGCTATAAAATAAAATGGTTGTGCATACGTCAGTTTTGGGATTGGCATCCAGCATGTTCCAAGACTTTTTGGAACTTTGTCATGCCAGGGCCATTGGGAAGTTACAACGGCAGTGACCGATGTCTGTTTTTCCCACACTTAATGACCGGCGCAGCATCCCCATGGTCATGTGATCAAAATTGGCAACTGGCTCATATTTATGACGGTTGCCATGTCCCCAGGCGACAAAACACAAACAGGGGTTAACGCATTGTCCCCTTAACCCTGACCCAGAGCTGACATAGGCTTTTCAACTCTCAGACGGCCATCTTGGTTTCTTTCAGGGCTATCATTCTCTGCGCCAGCTTGTGAAGCTCTCAAAACTGGTGGTGCCTCAGGAAATCAAGGACGTCATTGAACCCATCAAGGACAACGATGCGGCCATCAGAAACTATGGCATTGAACTAGCCGTCAAGATGTGCCGAGAACTCTTAGAGAGCGGCCTGGTCCACGGTCTGCATTTCTACACCCTGAATCGCGAGGTGGCCACCATGGAGATCCTCCGACGGTTAGGCCTCTGGAAAGAAGACCCAAGGTGGGTCTGTCCAGAAGGTGGGAGGGCTGGACACACCTGGGCCTCAGCTTTGGCTTGGTGAACAAGCCACAATGGTCTCCTTTCCAGCGCACCTTGAGCAATAAATCATGGCCAATCACCCTAACGTCTGGATTGGCTTATTTCACTGAGCCAAACCCAGATGAGGAATTTTGGTCTTGGCTATTTTAAGACTCCAAACTTGGCCACTTTAAGACTTGTGGACTTCCAACTCCCAGAATTCAAGCTAGCTGGAGAATTCTGGGAAAAGAAGCCCACAAAGTCTTAAAGTAGCCAAGTTTTGGGGGAATTGTGGGAGTTGATGTTCACAAGTCTTAATAATGGCCAGGTTTCTGGGGAATTCTGGGAGTTGAAGTATGGAAGTCTTAAAGTGGACAAGTCTTTGGGGAATTCTGAGAAATGAAGTCCACAAAGTCTTCAAAATGGCCTAATTTCTGGGGAATTGTGGGAGTTGAAGTCAACGAAGTCTTAAAGTTGCTGACTTTGGAGACCTCTGCTCTTGGCTAGGGAGAATAACGTTGATAAACTTGATGTAACTTTCTCTTTAAGCTGAGTTTGGAGTTGGCTTGCTTTAAAAAATGCCCCTGTTGACGTCCAGGAGAAGGCAGGAAAGATTGCAAAAGACAAATTAAGGAAAAAAGAACCAAAATTTCCAAACTAGAGGAAGATTCCAAACTAGACTTACTCATTTCTCAACCAACTGTGATTCAGGATAGCCCTCCCTTTTCCGTCATGGTTAGTAATGTCGAGATGAGCAACCTTAAAAAGCCCATCTGGAAAAGTCCGATCCAGAGTTGGAACCATTTTTAATTTTTCCATCCCTGATATCCTCCATGCCAGGCGTCCCTTGCCATGGGCAGTCAGCGCTCACCCCAAACGGCGAGTCGAAGACGTCCGGCCTATTTTCTGGGCTTCCCGGCCGAAGAGCTATATCTATCGGACGCAGGAGTGGGACGAATTCCCCAACGGACGATGGTGAGTGTTAGTACTCTGGCCTGTTGATGAGAAATGAAATAGCTTGTACTGGAGAAGTGTCGTGCTTAAGACAGATTCACATCCACTTCTTATTCAGGATTTGGTGGTCAGTTTGATGACCCGGAGCGTGTCACAAAAATAACCAAGTCACAAAAATGGAAGAAAGTTCCTTGAATGCCTCCAACTTGGCCCCAATGTCCAATTATCCTCAGCAGGATATAAAACTCTTAAAGAAAACAGTTTACGGAGGGAGTAAATGAGTCCGCACCCAAAGTTAATTTGAAATAAAAAAAAACCCAACACACCACACTGAAGGAATTACTATGGCAGGCTTGGATGATGAATTGTAGACTTCTACCAGATAACGCAGCAACCACGGTTGGGAGGAAGCCAAAACATAGATAAGCTCTGACAAGAATAATGCACGCTTTGCTTCTAGTAACTTTGCCATGCACAGTTTGTCCTTTTAACCAGTCCTCCCAGCTGCAGCCCATCAAGGGGATCAGGGCCCTTCCTCCCCCGTAGACCATACCACTCATGTTTCTCCCTTATCTGCTCCACCCTGCGTGCCCTAGGATGAAGAGGGGATGGGCCTGGGTCTTCCTCTGAATGCCCAGCTGGCCTGTGCCCTTCCCCAGTTTCCTCCACAACTACTGGAGCCACACTCCCACTCCCTGTGGGCTGTTCCACCTCTCCCTCGGAGTCAGACTCCAACAGGGGCATGACAGTCAGATTCTATTTTTATATACATCTTATATAATCCCTCAAATTTTAGCATAAATTATACACAGGTAGTCCATGCCCTACAGCCACAATTGAGCCCAACATTTCTGCTGCTAAGCGAGGCAGTTGTTAAGTGAGTTTTCCCCCATATTTATGACTTGTCACAATTGTTCAGTGAATCCCTGCAGCTGATAAGTTAGCAACACGGTTGTTAAGTGAATCTGGCTTCTACATGGAGCAGTGGTGGCTAATCTTTTTGGGCTCCTGTGCTGAAAATTGGGCGCGCGTTTGCTCGCGTGCCAGCACCCGGAAGGCTGTCAGCCTTCAAGATTTTTTCCCTTTGCTTTGCATCTTGCGGCTGTCATAAGTAACGGGGGGAGGAGGGGGGGTATGGTTATGGGAAGTGAGCTGGAGATGTTACAACACAGAACTGTATAAGTTGGTGGGGTTGGATTCTTGCTTAGGCTTCTATCCTATGCAATGCGCAGCTGCAACTCTTTATCAAACTATGTCAAGGTCAACGCACTGAGGCCTCATCGCCACCAGGAGATGCCCACTTGATGATATACACAACTTTTAATTGGAAGAGCCAGTTGAACTATTGGGGGCGGGAATATTGCCATTACTTTGTATATGTGATTTACGCGCACATTTTCTCAGATTCAGAATTCTTTTGTTGCTACCACTTGATTTCCAGTAAAAGATATCTTTTCTCTGATTAATTGGAGTCTAAGTATTTCTTTCTTGGATTTTGAATGGAGCACCAGCGGACATTATTCTGAATCTCCACATTACCAGCCCACCCGGAGAATTAATACATTTTCTTCTGAGAGGGTCTGAACACAATGTCAAATCCAGCCAGCGACCAAGAAGACCTGGGAGCTACTGGAGGACAAGATTCCCTGTTGTTAGAGGCAGCAGGGGAAGCCGACTTGTTAGCAGAACTAAATCTTGGGGGAAAACCAGCTGTAAAACCCAAATGGTCCCTGGGAGTCGGCTGGAAGGATCCTGAGGAAAAGCCTCCTCCAGGAGTGACCACTACCCATCGGCGTGGAAGAGAGGAGCCATGGCAAGAGAAGGAAAGAAAGAATTTTCTACTAACTCAAGCCATGCATCTTCTAAATGAAGCTATCAGAGAACCTCAAAGGTATGAGGGAGAGGAGGGGGAGGCAGCCCCAGCCAGAAGAATCAGAGCAGCCACCCCCATAAATCAACCTGGGCTAGCGCAACAGGCAGCAGCAGCCCAGGGGCCCCCAGCAGGAGGGGTAATTGCCAGAAGACGTAGAACTCCAAAGGTGCCCGTTGGAAGTAAAATATGGGGGGGATCCCAAGGAGTTAGGATTTTTCCTGGCACAAGTCTGGAGCTGTATGGAGGAATACGGAGGGGATTTTTCCTCAGAAGCAGCCCAAGTTAGATGTGTTACCAGGGCTCTGGAGGGAACAGCTGCAAAGTGGATGGTGACTTTGCATAATGATAAGGCCCCTCAGCTGATGAATTATGACCTGTTCATGACTGCGCGGCCGGCCCAGGTTTGAAGACCCACTTGCTGAACGTAAGGCCAGAATTAGGATGAAGACCATAAATCAGAGGCAGAGATCAGTGGCCGACTACACCCAGGAGCTGGTGTGTCATATTCGAGGCTGGTCCCAGGGAGCCCTGATAGAAGCTTTTAAAGATGGGTTGAATGAAGATGTATATCAAAGCTGTATTACCAAAAGAGACCCCAGTGAGCTGCAGCTGTGGTACGTGCTGGCGGCAGAGGTGGAAATTGATCTGACCCAAAACAGATGCCGGGGGGGGGGTGTTGGTTGGAGCAAGTCCTCCCCCACCAGCCCTCAAGAAGCCTTAAAACCTCAAAAGGGAGGAATAGCGGCAAAACCCAAGACCACTGCTTGCTTCCGATGTTGGAAGGAAGGTCACCGGGCTGCAGATTGCCGTGCCAAGCTAGAACCAAAGAAGGTGCCAGGAGGAGGAAGAAAACCTGAAAAAAAACCCAGCAAAGCCTCACGAAGCGGCGCTTAAAGCAGAGGAGGTTGTAGAGATCGCCCCTCCAAAAGGAGAGGAGCTGGGAACTCCAACCTCTTCTGAAGAGAGTGAATCCGAATTGGAAGACGACGCACTGGTAAGTCCAAATGAGGTCCCTATGACCATTCCAGTGAGATTAAGGGTACCCAAGTCAGGAGCCAAAGGGGAAATGCTGGCCTTGTTAGACTCTGGGTGCACAAGGTGCGTAGTCAGCTCGGAGGTAGTGGAGAAAATGGGCTTAAGGCTAAAGACTTTAAAAATGCCCATAGCTTTTACCAACTGGATGGATCAGCAGCTGGGGGCGGCCCTGCACATTTCATAACGGAACCAATAGAAATGACGATGGGGAAGCATAGAGAGACTTTGTGTTTTATTGTGGCTCCTGGGATGGAGTGGCCCCTAATACTGGTGTTGCCCTGCCTCCGGAAATGGAACCCCCACGTGGATTGGAGGAGGGGGTCATTTCGCATACGTACTGACCAACACCCAGAAGGGGAGGGGCAATCTCAACCAAAACTCAAGAATCCTACTGAGCTAACAAAACATAAAAACATCAAGCCATCTTCCATATGTTTGCTTATGTTTGTTTTTAAAAACCAATAAAACATTTAAAAAAAAAAATCCTACTGAGCTGGCCTCCACTGGCACCGAGAGCCTCCAGGGGGAGAAGAAAATTCCGGAGGAATATTGGGACTTAAAGGAGGTATTCAGTGAAAAGGCCTCGGACGAGCTTCCCCCCCATCACTCAACAGGTTGCAGTATTGAAATTTTACTCGGGGTGAAACTCCCAAAACCGAAACTGTACTCGATGACATCACGGGAGCTAGAAGAGCTGTGGTCATTTATCAATAAGAATTTGGAACGTGGTTTCATCCAACCCGCTAGGCCCCGGGTAGCAGCCCCAGTATTGTTTCGTGAAAAGAAAGATGGCTCCCTTCGTTTATGTGTTGACTACAGAAACCTCAACGCTATTTCAGTGGAGAACGTGTACCCCCTCCCCTTGATGAAGGATATGTTGGCTCACTTGGCCAAAGGGAAATTTTTTTACAAAACTCGACCTGAGAGAAGCATACTACCGAGTTCGAATTAAGGAAGGGGATGAACGGAAAACTGCTTTTAACTGCCCCATGGGTTGTTTCCAATTCAACGTTCTTCCATTTGGCCTACAGGCCCCCCCTGCAGTATTCATGCAAATGATCAATCAGGTGTTGCATGAACATCTATACAAAGGGGTGTTGGTCTGTCTTGATGATATTCTTATCTACACGGAGACTCATGATGAGCATGTGAAACTAGTGCGGTCATTTCTGGAAAAACTTCGAGCTGCTGAGCTGAATGCAAAGTTGTCCAAGTGTGAATTCCACCAGGAAAAAAAATGACTATTTAGGTTATCGCATCTCACATGATAGCATAGAAATGGATCCGGGGAAGGTTCGTGCCGTTTTGGAATGCCCTCCCCGCACCAGGAAGCAACTTCAAAGTTTCTTGGGATTTGCTAATTTTTACTGTCAATTTATCCCTGCTTTTGCAAAGATTGCAATGCCTATCACAAATCTCTAAAAACCAAAGGGGAGGTGAAACTGAAGCCTAGTAAACCACTGGAGTGGTCCATGGAATGTCAAGCCGCTTTTGAGAAGCTGAAACGACTGTTTGCTGTTGAACCAGTACTCAAGCACCCGGACATGGACGCTCCATTTGTAATCCAAGCTGATGCGAGTGATGTAGCAATCAGGGTGTTACTACAAGCAAACAAGACGGGGATTCTGCAACCGTGTGCATATACTTCCCGTAAACTAACTGAAACCGAAAGAAGATGCGCCATCTGGGAAAAAGAAGCTTTTGCAGTTCGCTGGGCTCTGTTAACCTGGAGGCATTTCTTAGAAGGGGCAAACACCCATTTGAGGTGTGGACAGATCATAAAAATTTGGAGGCTTTGAAAACGCCTCGGAAGCTGTCTCCCAAGCAAGTTCGCTGGGCGCAGCACTTTAATCGCTTTAATTTTTTATTGAAGTACATTCCAGGGGGAAGAACTTCATGGCGGATGCTTTATCTAGATTATCTCAGTGTAATAGTGCTCGCCAAGAAGTGGTACGGCCTATTGTCCCAACCAAACAGTTGGCAGCTCCAGTGGTTACCAGAGCCCAGAAAAAGAAGGCAGTTGATTTATCAAATGATTTGACTGCACAATTAAGAGACGCTCTAAAACTTGATGATTGGTTCCTTGCTTACTCAAATAACTGTATGGTTAGAGATGGATTGGCATGGGTGGGGGCCAAATTATATGTGCCAGTGAAGCTGAGAAACCAAATATTACAGCAAGCTCATGACTCTAAAGCCGCTGGACATTTTGGATTCGTGAAAACCTCACACTTGGTTAAAAGGCAATTTGGGTGGGCCTACCTTGAAAAAGGACATTGAGACTTATGTGGCTAGCTGCCCTATCTGTGCCTCAGCCAAACGGCCTCCTGGTTAACCAGCAGGCTTACTACAAAATGTGGCTAGACCAACGGCTCCATGAAAGGAAATCTATGGATTTTATAGTGGAATTACCTGAAATTAGGGGGAATACAGTTATTTGGGTAGTAAGAGATTTGTTTTCCAAACAGGTACATTTCATACCTTGTCCATGGTGCAGGAGGCCAACTAGGCCAGGCCCACCATGGCCACACCCACCCAGCAACTGGGCAGAGAACCCCCTTGCTAAAATTTTCGAAGGCCACCCCTGGTTGTAACTGCTAATCACGGACCTTAAGGCAGCTCGAAAAGTCCATGCGCTTAATTCAAACCTTTTATTTATGTATGTATGTATTTATTTATCTTGTCAAAAGCTTAGAATATAACAGAAACAAGAATAAACCTAAGTTAAAATACAAGAAATAGGAACTAATCATTGGGGACAATAGGACAGGGACGGTAGACACAATTGTGCACTTATGCACGCCCCTTGCATTAATTCAAAGGCTCTCTGGCAGCAATCGGCCCAAGCAGAATTTCTTACTTCTCTTCTTCTTCCTCTTCACCCACTTGCCAATTCTCCCCCAAATCTCCAGGGGCAACTCTTCGTCCCCCGCCTTCGGGGAGCTGAAAGACTACTATCTTTTCTACTTGAAGAGCAAGTCTGCCCGAGAAGAACTGCTGAAGATGTGGGGAGAAGAGCTGACCTGCGAGCAGAGCGTCTACGAAGTCTTCAGGTGCTACATCGCCGGGGAGGCCAACCGAAATGGACACAAGGTGAGAATTCATGAAAAGCACGGCCCTTTTCCGGTGAAAGGAGAAGAACGGTGGAGGTTGGCCATGAGAAGGCCAAGCCAAAGTGGACTACTTTGGTTGAGTGTTCCTTCTCCAGCGATGTATCTCAACCTTGGCCGCTGGTATCTAACACCAGATATTTGGCACTGCATTTAAGTTATCTAAAATGCATAAAAGGGATGTCAAATGAACATTGGAAGTGTAAAAGTAAAGAAGGGATTTTTAAAAAATCATTTATAGTGGACCTGTGATAAACCAAAGAGATGTTAGAGTAAGGTTCATGTTTTAATACAGAAAATGCTTAAAAGAAAGATAAAGATGAAACAAGAAACTTTTCTTTTGGGTTTAATGGAAAAAGACTTGGAGAAAAGAATTCAGAACTTTGATCTTATATATGTTGACAGCAGCAAGACAGCAGTTAAAAAATGGAAGATTGACTGATGCTTATAGAAATGGCTAGTTTATATTACTACTAGCTCGATACCTGTGCTTCGCTACGGAACTATGTTTGTTGGGCTTAGTTTTGGGGGAGGAAAATAAGGGAGAAAAAATTCTGCCTCTGCCTACCAGCATCCATCGGTATTCATCTGGCTAGCATCCTGTCAGTGTGTGAGAGAGTTGAGGGCTGTTTGGAAAGTGAAAGAGTATTTGCTGTGTGAGCAAGGAGACAGCAAGGAACCTGGGCGTGGCTTAGCTCAACTGTTCTGTAGTAAAGCTGCTTGCTGCTGTGAAAGTAAAACGGAAATGGAAACTCCTCTGCTTGTCTTTTGCATTTGGAAGAGATTTCTTTTCAGGTGGGGAGGGGGAGTAGAACTTCTTAGCATCAGAGCATGTTAATAATAATATAGGAAATACTAAGGCTCTCATGATCATTTGGAAAAATCCTTTCTTAGGGAGCCCCCAGAAGCCAAGAGGAAGATAGGTGCCAAACTTCAAGTTTGTAGGTTTTACAGTTCTGGAGATTTTGTGATGATGCCTGAGGGGCCTTTCGCTTTTATACATATATAGATGAAAAAGCAAAAAGCTGTGGTTTGATGTTTTAATTTACTGCAACAGAGGGAGTGAGAAGTCAACTATTTTCTTCCAGCCCTTCCTCATTTCTCTTCCCCCTTCCCCTACCGCCACTGCCTTCCTATTTATTTTTGTTTTTTGTATTTTATCACCTAATAAAATGTGGTTGTTTTTTTAAAAAGAAACAATAACAAACAGCTGTGCTGACTGGGGAATTATGGGAGTTGAAGTCCACCCGTCTCCAAATAGGTTGATGAGAAACGTCCTTCTACAGCTTTGATCTCTTTCCCTTTGCCTCAAGGTCACCTGTTTGCCATGGAACGATGACCCCCTGGCCGCTGAGACCAACCTCATGAAGGACGAGCTGGTTAAAGTCAACCGGAGAGGCATTCTGACCATCAACTCCCAACCTAACATCAATGGAAAGCCTTCCACGGACCCCATCGTGGGTTGGGGACCAGAAGGTGGCTACGTCTTCCAGAAGGTAGCCGCCTTAAACCACTTGGTGGATTCTTTGTTTCTGTTCCTTTGGGTCAGTCTTGACCCCTGGAAAACTCCCTTTTGGAAGTGGTTGGCCACGGCTTGCTTCCCGGGGCTGAGAGAGAGGGGCTGGCATCAGGTATTCTGGCTGGCTTCCCAAAATCACGAAGCAGGCTCTTCGTCCCGACAAAACCCCTTTTATTTAGGCTAATGTGAATTCCTCTCATTCACATCCAGCAAAGTCCCGGCAAACGGTCTTTCAAGAGTGATTTACAATCACAGACCTTATCAAGCTTGGAGAGTTGCCAGGCCGATAACTTCCAAGTGCAACGGTGTACCAGAAAATACTTGGCAAGGAGTCAGGAACAAATCTTTACCCTAATTAAATGAACTAATTGTCTCCTGCAAACATACCCCTCCCCTTTCGCTCCTCTTTATTCCCTATGGGAGGGGCCATTCAGCATCCACCTGTGCCCTTACTCCCAAGTTGACCCTTGTTCCTTAGCTATTCCCTTCTCCTGGCAGCTCTGCGCATGCGCACATCAGGAACAGGCTCCAGCTGCTCTTCTTCCCCACTGATCTCTGACTCCAAAGGCAGCTGATAACTGTCAGATGGTCCTGGCCCCATCTCTGCCTCCGCTGCAGAGCCCTCGTCAGAGCCTTCCCCAGACTCCAGGACTGGCCCATGCTCCTCCCCAACCTCCTCCCTGTCCGAGTCTGCCGCCAGTTCTGCTGGCTGTTGGCAGACCACAACACTTTGTGCCTAAGGAGAGGGAAACTCAAGCCTCAAACAAACATTCAGAAGACCAGGGAAAAGGGGATTTTGATTCTTAAAATCATTAAAGCAACCAACATAGAGATTAAACAGTATTAGAGAACCTCATGGGAATCACAGAGGATAATCGACCCCACTGAATTTTAAAGCCCTCATTTACAAGCCTGGTTTAGCTGCTGAGAGGCTCATGAATGACACCCCAGAACGAACCCCAGAGGAGACAGCCAAAAATGGTCTCAGATTATCCATGCTGGCAGTCTCCTCCTCCTCCTCTTAAAAAGTCTCACAAAAAAGCAGCTACAATCCCCAAGCGCGTTCAATATGGGCTCCACTGTGTGCAAACGCCCCGTAATTCCCAACATCCTGGAGTGGAATTCTACCGGTTTGGACCGGTTCTCGTGAACCGGATGTTAAATTTACATCTGGTTCACTGACCTGGTAGTTGAAGCCTCCGGACCACGGGGAAGGCAACCAATGGCCCTTCCAGAAGTTCTGGTAGGCCACGCCCACCATGGACACACCCACCCAGCAACCGGGCAGCGAACCGGTAGCTGGGATTTTTGAGCCCCACCCCTGCCAACATCAAAAACCACACCGCACCAAATCATTGTGTTCTCGCCCGCCTCCCTCCTTACAGCCTAATGAGATTTTAAAAAGCTCACTGCTTCAATATCCTTTGCAATACACAAACTAGAGAGCAGCTGTCTTTGCGCAACAGCCTTAACCCAAACTTGTTTAGCGCGAACCTTGGCTAGGATTATTATTTCAGTTTGTCGGTTGTGCAAACCCAGATTGTTTGATGGGGTCAACAGACCGGGAGCTCGGAAAATTGGTTTGATTGGGAAGCACCTGGAAAAATATATTTAGTTTGTTTTACAATATGGCGGCCATTTGCGAAGTTGTTTCAATGTCGACTTTTAAGGTGTGTGGACAAAAGAGAAATCAATGTCCTATTCTTTCCGCTTACCCCCTTTTTTTACAGGCTTACCTGGAGTTTTTTACCTCCGCTGAAAACATCAAAGCTCTTCTCACAGTTCTGAAAAAATACGGACAGCGTGTGAATTACCACATCGTCAACGTGAAGGTATGCTGGAATTTCTCAGGCCCTTTGGGGCACCAGGGACCAGTTCCGTAGAGAAAGATTTTCCCACGGATTGGAGAGAGACTTGGTCTCACGTGCTGCCTGCATCATCCCACGAATGGGGCTTCGCTTGTTTACGTGGCCAGGTCTCTGGCGCGCTGTGGCCTAGTGCTGTTCCATGACCCCTCCTGTCTCAGGCCATTCAAAAACAAGCCTCTCCCATTGATCAGAGAATAGAATCAGCTCAACCCTGCAATGGCTAGAAAAATAATATAGAATAACAGAGTTAGAAGTAACCTTGGAGGTCTTCTAGTCCAACCCTTGATCGAGGGAGAAATACCCTTTCATATAACAAATGCTTGTCTCATCTCTTCTTGAAAATATTTTATATCTATAAAAGTGAAATACCATTCACGGATCATCACAAAATTTCCAGAAACGTAAAGCCTACAAACTTGAAATTTGGCACCTATGTTCCTCTTGGCCTCTAGGTGCTCACTAAGAAAGGATTTTTCAAAATGACCATCAGAGCCATTAGTATTTCTTATATTATTATTATTAACACGCTCTGATGCTAAGGAGTTCTACTCCCCCTCCCCACCTGAAAAGAAATCTCTTCCAAATGCAAAACACAAGCAGAGCAGAGGAGTTTCCGTTTCTGTTTTACTTTCACAGCAGCAAGCAGCTTTAGTACAGAACAGTTGAGCTCAGCCACGCCCAGGCTCCTTGCTGTCTCCTTGCTCACACAGCAAATACTGTTTCAGTTCCCAAACAGCCCTCAACTCTCTCACACACTGATAGGATGCTAGCCAGATGACTACGGATGGATGCTGGTAGGCAGAGGCACAGTCCCCCTCCCCGCCTTATTTTCCTCCCCCAAAACTAAGCCCAACCACATAGTTCCGTAGCAAACCACGGGTCTCGAGCTAGTAAAATACAAACCTCTTGTCCTTCTGCTCTTCTTCAACCCTTTCCTGCTGCTTCTGCAGGGAGAGAACGTCACCAATGCCCACGAGATGCAGCCCAACGCTGTCACATGGGGGATCTTCCCCGGAAGAGAGATCATCCAGCCCACAGTGGTGGATCCAGTTAGCTTCATGTACTGGAAGGTAAACCTGTTTCCTTTTCCTTTCCTTGCAGATTTCAGCTTAGCCTCTTTCTCCCAGTCTAGCCTACAATCCAGTGAGAAGCTACCAACGGGGGAAAATAGCAAGTCTTATTTTTTCCCAATACTCCCTAGATCAGTGATGGTGAACCTTCTTGTTCTGGTGCGCCGAAAGTGTGGACGCGCGCATACCGGCATCCACAATGCAATGCGCCCTCCCGTGCATGCACGCGCAACACCCCACCACCACCTGCACTGTACATGCGCGCACCTCCCAGCTGATTTTTGACCTGTTTGGGACCTTTTTTGCCCTCCTGGGGGCTCGAGGGAAGCCTTTGCTGCCTTTGGAGGCCGAAAAACAGGCCCATTTTGGCACTTCCGTTTCGTCACTTCTGGTATTTCCAGAAGTCCCATTTTTCGGCCTCCCGAGGCTGCAGAGGCTTCCCTCAAGCCTCCAGGAGGGCGAAAAAGGCCTCAAATGGGCCGGGCTGGGAGGCGCATGCATGCGCAGTGCAGGTAAGTTCGTCTGTGGCAAACATGCCATAGGTGTGCCATCATAACCCTAGATTGTTTTAAATTATTTTATGAATTAATCTCTGCTTTCATCCTGATTAACCTCTGGGGACATTGATATTTAAAAATGTTGTGCTGATAGTCCTCAATTTATGACAACTGAGCCCAACATTTCTGTGGCTAAGCGAGACTGTTGTTCAGAGAATTCTGACCTTTCTTGGCAGAGTTGGTACGTGAACCACTGTCGTTGTTAAGTTAGCAACACCGTTGTTAAGTGAATCTGGCTCCCCTATTGAGTCAGAAGATTGCAAAAAAGGGATCATATAACCCCCAGGACATTGCAACTGTCATAAATGCGAGTCAGTTACCAAGTGCTTGAATTTTGATCACAGGGAATGCTGCAATGGTCGTAAGTGTGAAAAACAGCCATTAAGTCACTTTTTTTCAGTGCCGTTGTAATTTTGAACAATCACTTGAAGTTAACTGTTGAAGAGTAGCTGTATGTGATGACTCGGTGTGTGGCACAAAGGCAACACAGTCAGATAATCAATAAGAGTCCCTTTATTAGCTCCAACTTTGACCCCAATGTCCAGGTTACCTTCTGGCTGGAGAAAACCTCTATCAGGAACAGCCTTTGGCTGCAGAGAATCAAGTCCAAAACTTGGTCAACAAAAACTGTAACTATAAGTCCAATCAAGGCAAAATGAGGTAATGAGTCTGACAGGGCAGGAGAAGGAATTCTAGATGTGAAGGAATAGCAGTAATGCAACATGGTTGGGAAGACGCCAGGAACACAGATAATAACCAAAGTCAACACAAAATAAACTTATGTTTGCTCCCAGCAGCTGCTGCACTCAGCATGCATCTCTTTTAAACTCTCATTTCCAGGTGAAGGGAATCAGGGCCCTTTCCTTCCCCGTAAGTCATGCAACCCACGTTGCTCCCTTCTCCATTCTTCCATGCGTGCCCTAGGATGAAGAGTGGGGTGGGTCTGGGACTTCCTCTGAACTCCCTTTCCCTTGTTCTTCCTCTCCCCTGCTCTACCCAGCCGGACTTTGCCCTTCCCCAGTTTCCTCCACAACCAACAGAGCCTCACTCCCGCTCCCTGTCAGCTGTTCATTTTCCTCCTCGGATTCAGACTCTGACAGGGGCATGACACTGTAGTGCAAACCTTGGGAGACATTTAAATTTAAAAATGTATATTTAAACCTTTTCATTTCTGCCACGTAATTCCTGCCTCCCTTTCTCCAGACCTTAGAAAGGTGTTTACATTCAGTTCTTCCTTCTGAAGCACCCACACGTTTGCAATTTCTGAGGTTCTTACTTACAGGGTTGAAAACTGCAGCCTTGCAGAACTCCAAACCTGGAATCTTATAGTAATGTGAAATAGTTTTCCCACAGGTAGGGGTAGATGAAAATTACAGGTATTTGACTCACAAACAGCTCATTTAGTGGCCGTTTTGAAGTTACAATGGAAAAAGGTGACATGACCGTTTTCCACCCTTATGACTGTTGCACCCATATGACCCTCCCATTGCGTGATTTACATTCGGATGGTGGACCACTGACTCATATAGACGACGGTTGCAGCGTCCCAGGGTCAGGCTTTTGCAGCCTTCTGAGAAGCCAAGTCAATGGGGAAGCCGGATTTCTTTTAATAACCATGTTGCTAACTTAACAATGGCAATGATTCACTTAGCAACAGTGGCAAGGAAGGCCGTAAAATGAGACAAAACTCAACCAATTTCTGACTTAGCAGCAGAAATTTTGGGCTGGATTGTGGTCATAAGTTGAGGACTACTTGTATGTCAAGGTTCCCAAGTAATTGTTGTGGTTAGCCAGCAGCAGATGCGGATGGCTGAGGAGGACTCTGGTGAGGGGCCAGGACCATCAGGGGGTGGACTGCTGTCTTCAGAGATTGTGGGGGCTGGCAGCAGTGATGAGGAGGTTCCTGAGGAGCCTGTGCCAAGTGCGCGTGCACACAGGGCTGCTTGCAGGAAAGAGCAGCTACAACAGCATGGATGACTCGGGAGTAAGGCTGCAAGGTAATGGCCCCTCCTTCAAGAGGATAAAAGCCAGCTGTGAAGCGAACGTTCTTTGCAGGAAGCAAAGACATTTTGAAACTCAGCCTCGTGGACATTGCAGTATCTTAGTTGGTATTTGAAAACTCTTGTGTTGTGGAATATTTCTTATCTGTGATTCGTGGCAGTCTCGTATAGTTTTGGCAAGGCTTGTGCTTATCAAAGTTAATTAGTTTGCAGCAGCCTTTTAACCGGGGATTCGTAAGAATCATTAAAAGGTTTCTGTTCCCTTTGGTTCGTGTTTGTTTTATTGGACAAGAGTTTGGGTCAGAACAGTAATACATCCCGTTCAGTGAAAACTCTAAGGCAGGCATATTCATAAAAAAACATGTTACTGGGACCTATCAAATTGGCACAGACTTGGTGGAAAACCGTCTCTGAGTTCCCACTGGTTTTACACCCAATTAAAAGAAAAACTTAGTCGTTTCCCCCCAGTCACCCATCACATGGTCCAATTAGCATCCAGCCCAGTTGCTAGGTGACCTCAGTCTCCGCCTCTCGAACACCTGCACCAACGTCCTTGATTCCCAGAGGAAAGAATTTTATTTCGGCTGTAGCACCCCCAGCTAATCTCTGCGCCATCCCCTCCCTGGCCCCCTTCGCTCCAGGCTGCGTCAGCCCTGAAGCTGTGAGAAGAGAAACCTCCCTAGAGGAAATCTGCATGGAAAAAATGGGCACAATTAGGCCAACTTCAGGGTTGGCTATCAGCTTTGGAAGCCATATTAGCTACCAGACGCGTCCACACTGCCACATTCTTGAGCCTGGGAAAATGGGAGGGGGGAATTTCTTGGAGCGCATGTGGTTAGACATAATAGCACTCTTCTTCTAAGTCAAGGTCATGTTATCTCTGCACCTGGGTGAGAGGACGTCTCAAATTGGATGGTGATTGGGGCATGTGATGCCATGATGGGTGCAGGGGATGGATTTTTGTTTTTTTCCTTATTGCAAGGAAACCCGGAACTTCCAGATTCAGGATTCTCCAGATGTGCTAGTTTACTATCCAATCAAAACAGAACTTTTGAGAAGTTTGTCTGTCCCAGAGTTATTGGTTGGAGTGGAGGTTTTCTGGAATGCCGACATGGATGGCACTGTATTCATTTCGGGAACCGGGCCGGGGCTGAATCCTGTGTTCAAGTCTTGCCATCTTCCGCTGCCTCTTAAAATGTCTAACCCGTTAACCCTTGCTGTCTCCCATGGACAGGATGAGGCCTTCACCTTGTGGATAGAGCAGTGGGCCAAGCTCTACGAAGAAGAATCCCCTTCTCGTATGATCATCCAGTACATTCACGACAACTATTACCTGGTCAACTTAGTGGACAACGACTTCCCCTTGGAGAGTTGTCTCTGGCAGGTATTGGAAGACACCTACGAACAGTTGAACAGTCCAGGAGAGGAAGCGAAAACCTCTGGATTTTGAAAACAGGGACTTTACAACATTTTTACCACCATCGCAACGTACGGCAGCTGAGCAACCTAGTAGAACTCTGGTGCTGCTGATTTTTCTAGTTTTTTAATCAGATGTTCGATGACGGGTGCTCTAAACCGGCAGTCCCCAGTTTGGCAGCCTGGTGGGTTGTGGTGTGTGTGTGTGTGTGTGTGTGTGTGTGTGGTGAGTGAGTGAGTGGCAGGTGCATGCTCGCATTCACAGCTCCCACAGAGCTTCGTGCACAAGCGGAGGGGGACATCAGCGGAGGGCGCTTGGGCTCGCGCGTGAAGCTCCCCTTGCTCGAAGGAAGGCCGCTTGCACGAGTGTGCAAAGCTCCATTCGCACGGAGATTGGCGTGCGAATACAAGGGGGTCACACGAGTGCACCTTCCACTTGTGTGAGTGGAGCTCTGTGTGCAAAGCATGTTTGCCTGTCACGCGTGTAAGCGGAGCGTCACTCTTGCCCATTTCTCCTGCGGCCTGGGAGTTGGGGACGCCTCCTCTAAACTTCCTAAAGACCAGCCACAGGCAGCTTGGCTGAGACTTCCAACCTATCCCTCTTTTTAGTTCTCCTACAATCTATCCCTATTTATTTTGATTTTTGTAAGAGGCATCGAGAATTACCTTCCTTGTTTTTTTTGTGGGGGGGGGGGGGGGGGGAAATGGCAGCCAGTGGAACCTTTGTAAAGGGACGAAAAATGAAATAAAACGACTCACACATAAGGCCTCCTGGCGTGGCCTCACAGGGAGGATGGCTTTGTCTGAAGGCGGCGTCTTGGGGGTCTCCAATGCCAAGGAAAAGTTTGACCCCACCCTCCTGCCTAGCAGAAAGGGCGCCGAGCCCACCTGTCTCAAGATAACAGCATTGGAAAGGACCTTGGAGGTCATCTAGTCAAGGCGTTGCCAACCTTTTGGACCTCAGGGACCACCAAACTCATCATTTTAAATCCCGCGGACCAGCGACCCACCTGGGAAAATCCCCAAAAAAGTCTGCAGGAAAATTCTCCACCCCGTTTTCCTACCGATTGATCCTTATTTGGGATTGCAGAATAATGTCTCCAGCTCCGTTCTCAGTGGGGGAAAGAGAGAGACTTTTGGCTTCATGCAAGGAAAACAGCAGAAGCAGCAGAAGTCTTTCCTTCTCTCCCCCAAACTCCCCCATAAATGAGTCTTTGTGAGACTTGTCATGCCGGCGCAGCCTCTTGGAGCAGGAGGACTTGCAGGGTCCCAAAGTCTCATTTCTGGCAAAGTTTGGGGGAGAGAAAGAAAGACTTTTGCTGCTTTCTTTGCGTGCAGCCAAAAGCAGAAGAAGAAAGAAGCGGAAAGCAGTCCGGTGGCCAGGCGCGTAGGGCAAATTTCCCCCCTCCACCCTTTCCCCCCTCCCCTCACTACCTCATGTTGTTCGCAATACAAGTGACGCAGGCCTTGTGTTCCTGCAGGCCATGTGGGCGGCGCAGCCTTGTGTTCCCTCCGCAGCCTGGATTAATTGTTTTGGGGGTGACATTTCTCTGTGGACCACCAAAATTTTCTCAGGGATCATCAGTAGTCCACGGCCCACCAGTTGGCAACCACTGACCTAGTCCAACACCCCGCCCCTCAAGCAAGAGACCCTACACTATTTCTGACCGATGGCAGTCCAGTCTCTTCTCAAAAGCCTCCAGGGATGAAGCTCCCACAACTTCCGAAGGCAAAACTGTTCATTAAGTGTGAAGACCCGTCCCAAAGCCACCTATTTTCAGCGCCGTTGTAACTTTGAAAGCCAGTCACTAAATGGACTGTCGTCAGTCAAGGACTATCTGTCAGGGAAACTCAGCGGTGAGGTGGGAAGAGAAGACACTCTGCTCTGTTGCAAAACACAACCGGACTTACCCTCTAGAGCAGAGGTCTCCAACCTGGGCCACTTTAAGACTTGTGGACTTCAACTCCCAGAATTTCTCAGCTAGTTTTGCTGGCTGAGGAACTCTGGGAGTTGAAGTCCACAAGTCTTAAAGTGGCCCAGGTTGGAGACCCCTGCTCTAGAGTGGGGTTGTGATGTTCCAGAGTGTAACACAAACTTGAAATCCAATCTTTAATGCCTTCAACTTGGCCCCACTGTTCAATAATTCTCAGTTGGAGATAAAACTTATTCAAAAATAAGTCTTTAAAAGTAAGCAATACAGCCCAAACTTAATGAGCAGATAGAGGTGAAATAAAAAACTAAAACTACAATGAGGGAATTTCCACAATGGACCAGAATAAGTAATTACCAACTTCAAGGAGATAACAACAGTCTCTTGGTAGGACACTGACCAAGATAACCTCAGCCCAAAGTAACACATGCTTTGCTTCTGGCAACGCTGTGTTTTAACCATCTCTCTTATATAATATTCTCTCCAGCTGCCACCAATGAGGGGGATCATGGCCGCTTCCTCTCTCGTAAGCCAAGTTGTTTCCTTCTTTGTTGCTCCTTGCATGTCCTAGGATGCAGAGGGGATGGGCCTAGTTCTTCCTCTGACTGCCCAACCGGCCTCTGCCCTTCCCCAGCCTCCTCCACGACCTCTGGAGCCACATCTGCACTCCCTGTCAGCTGTTCCTCCTCTCCCTCAGGGTCCGACTGAACCAAGGGCATGACGGGGTTTCTGCCCCATGCAAATTTCAGAAGGACCTTGACAAATAGGGGCCAACCAGAGGTGGTCTTCAGCTGGTTCTGACAGGGTCTAATACCACCTCTGACTGGCCCCGCCCCGTCTATTCTCTGCCTCCCACTGAGTGCCAGCTGATTGGCTGGGTCTTCTTTGGCTGCCCTGCACAGGAGAACGGAGCTGGAAAGCAGGTTAGTGGGGAGGGGAGGGAAGGGGGATTTTGCAGTATCCTTCCCCTGCCACGCCCACCGAGCCAAACCACACCCACAGAACCAGTAGTAAAAAAAATTTGAATCCCATCACGACACAACACTGAAGAGACCATCCACCGCGCTTGGTTTTTTAATGACGTTCCCCAAATACACAAACCCGGTTGATCCTCGGCGTGGCTCAATTTTTTCCTCCGTCTCCCCTTCTTTCCAAAATGGGCCGATGTAAGATTGCATTGCCAAGTCCAGTTTTTCTGAGAGGCGGCATGTCCTTTGCACCACCTGTCCCATCCTGCAGCTGGTTACAAAAGGGACACCCCAGGCCAGATGTTTTATTCGGTCTGGACTCGACGGACGGCCACCAGCCGACACCACTTCCCGAAAGCCTGCAGAGAGATTCAGATTTAAGATTCAGGTTAACAGAGCTGGAAGGGACCTTGTAGGTTATCTAGTCCAAACCCCCCTGCCCAAGCAGGAGACCCTACACCATTCCTGACAGAGGGCAGTCCAGTCTCTTCTTGAAAGCCTCCAGGGATGAAGCTCCCACAACTTCCGAAGGCAACTTCTGTTCCATTGTTGGTTGATTGTTCTCACTGTCAGAAAGTTTCTCCTTATTTCCAGGTTGAATCTCCCTGATCAGTTTCCATCCATTATTCCTTGTCTGGCCTTCAGGTGCCTTGGAAAATAGCTTGACCCCCCTCCTCCTCTCTGTGGCAGCCCCTCAAATACTGGAAGGCCGCTCTCCTGTCTCCCCTGGTCCTTCTCTTCCCTAGACTAGCCAGGCCCAGATGGGCCAGGGGAGCAGAGACCCAGGGGTGGGATTTAAAAATCCCAACAACAATCAGTTCTCTGCCAAGTTGCTGGGTGGGCATGGCCTACCGGAACTTCTTCCGCCCCTCTCAGAGCCTCCGTGAGGATTCTGCACTTACCTGCATCCCAAATGGGCTCCTGGAATGGGGCAGGGCAGGGCGGGGCCAGCCGGTCAGTTTAACTACCGGTTCAACAAACCGGATGTAAATTTAACACCCGGTTCGCCTGAACCAGCCCGAGCCGGATGAATCCCACCCTTGCAGAGACCCTTGGCCGAACCCAACCGCTGAACGAAGGGAAGGGCCAGGGGATGGGGAAGGGGGTGATGATTAACCACACCCCCCACACACCCCCAAAATGCATTCTTCTTACTGTTTTGAGCAACTGGTCCTCTTCGGCTTCATGGAAACGCTGGGCCACCTGGAGCTGCAGCCAACGCCGTCTCCATATCTTCCAGCCCCATTGAGCTGCTCTCCGCCATCTCTGCGGGAGGAGGCATGACACCGATAGAGAGACCCCAACCCTGGTTAAAATCACCCCCCAAAAAGCCTGGAGTAGCCGAGATGAGGGATTTTAGCAGTTCTCCCATTTGCAGAGACTAAGAATAACTTTTTAACGTATGCAAATAAAGTTATTCTGTTCTATTCTAATTTCTGTTCTATTCTAATTTCTATTCTATTCTTATTTCTATTCTATTCTATTTTTATTTCTATTCTTATTTCTATTCTATTCTTATTCTATTCTTTTCTTATTTCTATTCCTATTCTAGTTTTATTTCTATTCTTTCTATTCTATTCTTACTTCTATTCTATTCTTATTTCTATTCTATTCTTATTTCTATTCTATTCTTATTTTTATTCTATTCTTATTCTATTGTATTCTTATTTATATTCTATTCTAATTTATATTCTATTCTAATTTCTATTCTATTCTTATTCTTATTCTATTCTTATTGCTATTCCTATTCTATTCTATTATTTCTATTCTAATTTCTATTCTTAGTTCTATTCTATTTCTATTTTTTCTATTCTGTGACTTTGAATGAAGATTAATCGACATAAATTAAAATGAACTTTCATTGCATACAGCTCTCAAAAGGGTCACTACCTCCAATATATACTTCATAAACATGACAAAAGATCAGTCAATAAATACAAAATTAGGCATATACTCAAATAGCTAGATAATATTATATGACATAGAGAAACAGCAAAGTCTAGTTTGGATGTGGTGGGCACTCTATCTCTGGAGATTTTTAAGAGGAGACTGGACAGTCACTTATCTGAAACGGTATAGGTTCTCCTGCTTGAGAAAGGGGCTGGACTAGAAGATCTCCAAGGTCCCCTCCAGTTCTATTCCACTCCACTCTGTATTCTATTTTCTATATTCTACATTTTATATTCTATCTTCTATCTTCTCTCTCCTCTCCTATTCTGCATACATGTACATGGCAAGAAAAATGAATCTTGCAAGTTCAACTAGACAGATGGCCTAGGGAACAAAGCTGTTCTAGAATCGGGTATTTCTGCT